ACCAACCTCGGCACACCCCGATCAGGAGGTGGAGGAAATGTATGAGGATATCTCTAGAGCCATGCATTCCTCCAAAACCCAATATACGGTGTTAATGGGAGACTTCACTGCAAAACTAGGCACAAGAGAGAACGGTGAGCTGAAAGTAGGGAAATTTGGAATAGGGCAACGGAACCCAAGGGGCCAGCAGCTGGCCGACTTCATGGAGAAAGAGGGACTCTTTATGATGAACTCTTTCTTCAAGAAGCGGCCCCACAGGAAGTGGACCTGGTCGAGCCCCGACGGTTCGACAAAAAATGAGATTGACTTCATTATGACGACCAGACGACAACTGTTCAGTGATGTCTCAGTGATCGCGAGGGTGAAAACCGGCAGCGATCATCGAATGGTTAGAGGCACACTGAACCTAAACGTTAAGTTGGAGAGGTCTCGTCTAATGAAGTCAACGCTCCGTCCCCCTCGTGCTCTTTTCCAAAGTCCCGAAACCTTTCAGCTCGAGTTACAAAACCGTTTTCAGTGCCTAGAAGACTGCAATGAAGTGGACGATTTGAATGACAAGCTCGTGGAAACTGTCCATGCGGTCGGAGCTAAGTTCTGCAAGACCCGCCGCAGAAGAACACAAAAACTCTCCGATCACACTCTTAATCTCATGACTGTTAGACGGGAGATGAAGCTACATTCTTCAACAGATTTGACAGCATACAGGCAACTGAACAGACAGATCTCCAAATGCATGCGGCGGGACTTACGCAAATTCAATACAGCTCGTATTGAAGAAGCGATCGAGCGGAACCGAGGCTCCAAAGTCTTTGCCAGAGATCTGTCTGCCAGAAAGCGCCAACTGTCAAAGCTGAAGACAGAATGTGGCAGCATCGTTTCCGGGGCACCTGAGATTTTGAGTGAGATTGAGAGGTTCTATGGGCAGCTGTACACGTCATCGTTGGAGGCGCACGCAAGTGTGAGTAACGATCCAAGAGCGAGTCTTATCCGACATTATTCCGATGATATCCCGGACGTCAGTCTGAGCGAGATTAGAATGGCTCTCCAGCACCTTAAAAACGGCAAGGCCCCAGGCGAGGATGGAATTACAGCGGAGCTTCTGAAAGCGGGTGGAAGACCGGTACTTGAAGTCCTTCAGAAGCTCTTCAATTCCGTCCTCCATGGTGGCATTACACCGGAGGCGTGGAGCAGAAGTGCGGTGGTCTTGTTCTTCAAGAAAGGCGACAACGCTCTCTTGAAGAACTACAGACCGATTTCCCTTCTGAGCCGCGTCTACGTGCTGTTTTCGAGAGTCATTACGAATCGTCTCGCTCGCAGACTTGACGACTTCCAGCCTCCCGAACAAGTCGGTTTCCGAAAAGGCTTTAGCACCATAAACCACATACATACCCTTCGGCAAATTGTGCAGAAGTCCGAGGAGTACAATTTGCCACTATGTCTGGCGTATGTGGACTATGAGAAAGCCTTTGATTCCGTCGAAATTTGGGCGGTGCTGCAGTCCCTTCAGCGATGCCAAGTTGACTGTCGGTATATCGAAGTGTTGAAGTGCTTGTACAGTAGGGCTACGATGTCTATCCGAGTACAGAACCAGAGTACGAAACCTATCCAATTGCAGAGAGGTGTAAGACAGGGTGACGTCATATCCCCGAAACTCTTTACCGCTGCATTGGAAGATGTTTTCAAGCTTCTGGACTGGAAAGGATACGGTATCAACATCAATGGCGAGTACATCACTCACCTTCGATTTGCCGACGATATAGTCCTTATGGCAGAATCGCTGGAGGACCTAAGCACTATGCTCAATGACCTCAATAGTGTTTCCCAACGGATAGGTCTTAAGATGAACATGGACAAAACAAAGATCATGTTTAATGTCCATGTCACACCTATGCCGGTAGTTGTTGGGAACACTAAGCTCGAAGTTGTTGACGAGTATGTTTACCTGGGACAAATAGTCCGACTAGGTAAGTCCAACTTCGACCGAGAGGTCAATCGACGGATTCAACTCGGTTGGGCAGCGTTCGGGAAATTACGGCACATCTTCTCGTCAGGTATACCTCAAAACTTGAAAACGAGACTGTACACCCAGTGCGTGTTGCCAGTGATGACATACGGAACTGAGACGTGGTCCTTCACTGCTGGCCGGATGAGGAAGCTCAAGGTCGCTCAGCGAGCTATGGAGAGGGCTATGCTCGGAGTTTCTCTGCGTGATAAACTCAGAAATGAGGATATCCACAGTAGAACTAGAGTGACCGACATAGCCCAACGGATTAGTAAGCTGAAGTGGCAATGGGCCGGCCATATAGCTCGAAGAACCGACAACCGATGGGGAAGAAAGGTTCTCGAGTGGCAGCCTCGTACCGGCAGGCGAAGTGTAGGGCGTCCCCCCACTAGATGGAGTGACGACCTGGTAAGATATGCAGGAAGTCGATGGATGCAGGTGGCTCAGGACCGTGCTTTGTGGCATTCTTTGGGGGAGGCCTATGTTCAGCAGTGGACTTGTGAAGGGCTGTAATGATTACAAGACTCAGTTTCTCCCCATTTAAAATTACATTCGTATTTAATTGTTTGACATTTGGAGTCATGAATTTCATACATTTCGTTTTAGTGCCATTTAAATGCAAATTATTAACATTGAACCAATTTGCCGACTTAATTTGAAAATTAAAGAAGTGTCATCTGCAAATAATACTATATCACGGTTATCCCCTATTATGTAAGGTAAGTCATTAATGTACACAAGAAACAGAAAGGGGCCGAGAATTGAGCCTTGAGGTACGCCCATTTGTACCATCGACCCGGAAGAGTTCATACTGTTAATGACAACTTTTTGCGTTCTCTTACTTAAGTATGAAATAATTAATTTAAGAGCATCACTTCTTACACCGTAGTGTTGAAGTTTCCTGATTAATGTTTCATGATCAACATTTTTAATATTCATATGTATTGATGACTTTCGTTGTCATTAATACATATAAATACACATATAGAATATAAAATGTGTAAGTAAGTGTGACGAGTGAGCGCATAGTCCATCTGATAGTAAGTGGATGCTATGACCAATAGACATGTACTTTCTCGATTTTCGATTAGAATAGAATAGAATGATTTTTATTCAATGTAAGTTATTACATAATACTTATTTAAAGTCATTTTTTTCATTTACCACTGATTCGGAAAATACCTCTGTCCTGGGAAGAATCAGCAAGAAACCTAGCGGGACTTTTTTTTAAACATATTTCATTTTACGTTTTTTGTTTGTACAAATTTTAAATGACGATGAGTTTTAGTAGAACCAGCATGGTGGCGATCACCTCATTCCCAAGGTTTTTTTCACTTACATATTCATTGATTCTTGTGTTGTAACACGCGTTGTAACTCCGGAGAACTAAGATGGAACGCCTCGTTACCAGTAAAAAGGTTCTACTACACCGTTTACACGAAACACATTAGCATTACTCTTCTGTTTCACGCGAGACATGGAACGAGTAGTGATTCGCCGAGTACTCGGCCACCGGGTACTCGGCCTAGATTGGGCCGAGTACTCTGCCGAATACTCGGCTTTAAAAAAAACGCGGTAGCGGGCGGCGTGCGGTTATTTTCCTTACAAATTAGACCCAAATAGGGCTGAAAAACTAGCGTTTATGCATCACAATCTTCCTCTCTTAAAATTATATATTAGTGTAATAATAATGTCTATTGTACATAGATTCTTATTTAAGTTCTAAATATTTCTGCTGCTTCTCATGTTCCTGATGTTTTAATGTGTCTAATATAATAATAATGATAAAAACTGGCTTTTTGTCTATTTTTCTCTGGGATATAATTAATACTCGGTTAATACTCGGTGTTCGGCCGAACCCTAAAAAACGGCCGAATTCGCCGAGTACCGAATCCAAACCGAGTACTCGTCCCATATCTATTTCACGCATTCACTCACGCATTTGTGAGAGCGTGGTCTTTCCCCAGTCGAGCCGATTTAATCGTGCTGCAGTCATATATCACTGCAGCGTGACTCTACCACGTGAAAACAGAGGCTACAATTGAATGTAATTTCCATCCAGCACGCACACGGGATGTTTTAATTAGCTGTTACAAAGTTAAACGCAGATAGTTCGCTCGCGACACTATTTCCATATAAAAGGACGATGGTAATTTTAAATACAGGTTTTTAGCTAATTAACACTCAAACTACGGGAACAGGGGCTTAATGAAAAGGTCAGGCTACGTCAGAGGCGCGGTGTTAAATACTATACGCATTAAATATTAATTTTGTAGATATTTAAACTCAATTTTTTTTTAACAGTTAATAATAAAGTAGAGTAGCCAGTCTCTCGGTATTCTGTAGGAGAGTGCGCAGGAGTTACATGCTTTTATGCACTTACCACCAGATGGGATTGTGGTCAAGCACTGGTTTATAATATGTAAAAAAAACCGGCAAAGTGCGAGTCGATACAAAACACAGCATTAAGTTGCTATTTTATGCCGGTATACTGTGAGTGCGGAGATCCATTCATGCTGTAACCACAATATAGCTGTAGCGTACTCCCACCAAGTATTTATTGTGGAATATGATGACAAAATGTTAACTAATTTTTTACGTGGTAGAGCCATGCTGCAGCTATATTAGTAGTATAGTTGTAGCACGAATGGGTCGGCTCGACCGGGGAAGGACCACGCTCTCACAGAATACCAGCGTCAAATAGCAGCTTAACACGGCTGTGTTTCGTATGGTGAGTGTAGAGAACCGGAGACCCCTTTTACTGGAAAAGAGGCATTCTATCTTAGTCCTCACAGGTGACAACGCATCTGCATTTTGATTCGCAAACGAAGATAAATGTAGATGTCTATGGGCCACAGCCCACAGCAACCACTTACCATCAGGTGGACTGTGTGCTCGTTTGTCACCCTATCGTATAAAAAAACTTAATGTTTATCGACATCAAGTTAAGATTAGTTAAACTCATACCTACTTAAAATAAAACTTGCAATAATTTCAGGAGCAAATCCGGGAGTGGCCTTTAGACCGAGGCCTGTGGATGGTGTAATTGTGAGGGTATCCGATAATGCCACAAATAACTATGTCACAGGACTCGTACAATTCTTAACGCGTAAGTGTTTTTTTAAATGGTCCGGTTCTCCTATATTTAAGTTGTATATATATTTATAGGTTATAGGATTCCGACAAGGTATTAGAGTCCGCAAGGTATGCTGCTATCCTCATATCTAAAAAATAAATAAAAATACTGTTATAATTTTAACTTGCATGGACAATTTGCGGGGTGAGGGGACGTTAAGGCCCGCTCACTTTACTAGTTTTCCATCTACCGATATAGTAAAACTACTCGCATAGTTCCATATCGATGTTGCAATATAGTTTAGCTACCTTGACGATAGATGGCGGCCTGTTCACAAAATGATTATAAAAACTATAAAAATAATATTTTGGCGATTAAAAATTCTTTAGAACAAATTTCAACACCTTCGTATAGTTATTTTACCAACTACTGAGCTCTATGTACCTTTATATTTTTAGTTCCCATGACACAAAGTGTCGCCATCTAGAGTCGAATATATTTAATTACATTTGAAAGCCGACGCAGAGATTATTCTAGAACCTGTTTGTATAAAATTACTTACAAATGAAATGTGATGCCATCCATAGCATCAGAGCGTCTATCTGAGTAGTTTTTACACGATAAAATACAACACTTCATCCTTTTCTTCTTAATACTACGAAAATACACCGATTTGCGATTTTCGACACATAAGCGCATAAGACGAACGCTGACAGTATGCTAAGTAAAGGCACGCCCACTGTGATGACGTCAGGACCTAGTTAGAGTCACAGTGCACAGTTGCTTATGCCATCTCCTCTTTGTATTTGCTCCGTGGAGGCGCCTATCGGAAATGCTGTTAGTGCGAATAACTCTTATGGCTTCCGATGGGCGATATAACGATAACGCTTATATCAGACGTAAAAACGGAGAGCATCGTCTAATGTACAAAACATCTGGTACTGCGTTCCTCAATGCCTGACGATTAAGGTAAATTCTCTTAAAACGAGAGAGGAACTTTTACATGCTGATGAAGAAATAAAATGATGAGTTTGATTTGATGGATTGATTGCATAACACCACACAGCAAATATAATTTTGGAATATAAAAATTTTCAATGGTTTTATTTACATACTTTCCCAGCTTATGAGAACGAGACTTGGTTTACAACGAAGTCTGGTTGTTCTGTCGAAGACAATTACGGCTTCCCGGAATCGCCGTGCTTCTTCATCAAGTTGAATAAGGTACCTGGTCAGTGGATAGTGTCTTTTAATTAAGCATACCTACCACACAACCAATGTCTCTCGTATCGTGCCAGTCACTGTGCTAGAGGTCTATCTGTTTTTTTCCTTCATTTTATTTAATACATTTACTCGTATTTACATAACAATATACAATATTTTAATATATACAATATTAAAAACTATAATAAAAAAAAAACTAAAACTAGTAACTTAATTATCATACAGTCCTACTCACCTCGGTATCGTGCTAAGAACGCTGGCTGCATTTCCCCGCTGAATGGCTTTATACTTAGCCTTTGAGCGAGAAAAAAAACCAGCCCTGTTATCACCAGCAACAAAATCTAATGTTTCAGACGATTTTAATAACGTAAATTTCCGAATACACCCCGGAGTGTTGTGATCTGGGCAGAATCTGAGCAATATTTTTACTGTTCTCATATCTAAAAAGCTATTGCAAAGATTTCAGGAGTTTAAATGTTATTGTTACACCGTTCCAAAATAGATTCTCACATCCCTCCTTTTCATTCTAAAGCCAAAGGCTGTAATGATGAAGATCTCCCGACGGGCCGGTGTTCTGCCCGAAGAGCGGCCAACGCTCCATCTCCATGTGTTAGTACAGAGCTATTTTATATATACCACAGTACTTTGGAACTTTGATAGCGCGATTTAGGCTTCGATGCGTTTCGCTTGTGACACAATGACAGCGCCGCCACAGAGCCCTTTACAAGCAATGCTGAACATCGGTCACCCTCAAGTAATGACAAATCGAAAATTAATTATGTTTTTGCAATCAGTTGATCACTTTCCAGTTCAGTAGTTTGAAAACGTCTTATAGGCCCGTATTAATAAACGTTACTCAACTACGAACTCAAGTTCGTAATCATTTGATACGCCCTCATTACGATATCAGCATCTCAAGATCGTTGCTTATTAATAAAGACATAAAAACAGTATCTTAAAAGTCAAAACGTTGTACTTAGGAATACTGTTCTGTGACTTGCACTCAAGTACACACACCTGAGAGTCGAGTTTCGTTTGTTAATCAGTGTGGCACTCAGCTGATATCGTAAACCTAAACCGTATCTTGAAATATGTTTATTAATAAGATCATCACCTCAATATTGTACTCAAGTGCGTAGTACACGCACTTGAACTGAGTAACGTTTATTAATACGGGCCATAATGCACCCGTGAAAAGTTTTGAGAATCAACCGTCACCATGTCTTACAACTCTCTTCAATTGATGTTACCGGCCTGCATATTTAATTTCGGCCTTATTATTCTGCCAGCTGTTGAGGTCACCTCCGAGAACTAATATGGAATGCTTCACAGCTTTAATTTATTCAGACCGGCTCCCAAATCGTCGTGGATGTCGTAAGAAGTGACTGAGGGAAACAAACCAGGAGATGTGCAGCATCGTTATCATCATCATCACCATTATTATTACAGCCCTTTACAAGTCCACTGCTGAACATAGGCCTTCCCCAAGGAAAGTCACAAAGCACGGTCCTGAGCCACCTTAGAGTTTTACCATGTCGTCACTCCATCTAGTGAGGGCAACTATGGCAAATGTCTCCATTATGAGGAGATTTGTGGGGAGGCCTATGTTCAGTAGTGGACTTTGATAGGCTATAATGAACGAATTGATACTCGTAAATAAATGATACTTTAAAGTTTTAACTTAGTTTTCTCCCTTACAGATTTATGGGTGGAGACCAGAATACTACGATGTCAATGAACTGCCATCTGACATGCCGAGCGACCTTGTAGAGTATATCACTGGTCTCCAACCAACAGAGGTAAGATGTACGGGCGGTAGGAAAAAATAAAAAAAAATATGATGGTATTAAGTATAAAGTTAATTATTGTATATTTGAAATTTTAGAAGGTTTTTTAAATATATTTTTTATAAATTTCTTTATATGTTATTAATATTAGAATCCCCACTCTTGCAATTCCACAACACCGGAGGAAATTCTATAGAAAACGTTGCTGGTTATACAATTTTAAACAAAGAGGCTTTGTCTAAAACCTCTTTGTCTAAAATTGTCTAAAAGATAAGAAGATCTTTGTCTAAAAGATGGAATTTGAGCTCTTTTGCTGATATTGATTAATATGCTACAATATCACTATTAATATATTTCTTTATGAAACTTTGCAAAGTTTTCTTAACAGTTTTCCTGTCCGCGACATTAGCCTACTTTGTTTGGAGTTCATTACAGGTGTCTATGAGCTACATAGGCCACTTACTATGAACATTCTGTGGTTGGCTTAAACAGGTCTTACCTACATCTAAAATTAAGTTTGTTCTTCGTTCTTTTTTAAATATAGTTTTATAACTATATTTAAAAAAGAACGAAGAACAAACGTAATACTAATATGCCGACCATTATTGTTTAGCACGAACAGATTTGGGTCTCCTGCGGAGAAGAAAAATCAAACGCTACAAAAATAGAGTACCCCTGGGGAATGGGTTTGCCGGGAAGGTTCTATCCGTTCCGAAACGAGCCGGGCTACAACAGTCCACTCGTCGCTGTGAAGTTGACGCCGAATGGTTAGTAACGTTTTTATATTTCCAATCCACAGATGTCTCTTGGGGTTTATTTATTTATTAGGATTACCACCGATTATTAAAGAATAAACAATATTTACGTTAGTCTTATATCTAAATGTACAATCCTTAGAACAAACATCTAAAGGTAATCACAGTATGCTATATTATGCTATTTACAATTTAGTTATTTACTATTTAATTAAATTAAAGAATTCTTATCTTTAAGGAATTTTTATTGTGTTGTGGCGGTGAAAAAATATCCACTACCCCATACCGTCCCGTGGGTGTCGTAAGAGGCGACAGACGGAAACAAATCAGGAGTTGGGCAGCACCGTCTTCCTGATAACAACACAAAATAATAAAAAAACTGTGGTTGCCAACCCGCATGCCAAGCGTGACAACTACGGTAAAATCCCCCCTATCAGGGGGGGGGGGCAATGTTGTGCAGTGGACTTTTATAGGTTGTAATGGATGGTATTGTGTGCATGTGTATTATTTTATTAAGATGTGTGTGCATATTTTTTATGTTCTTTGTAACCACATTCGTAATGTTGTCATTGCCCTGATGTTGACTAGGAGGCAATGTTTTTAGCATTAAGTCCATCTTTAGATCCTATCCTATTAGTAAGGTTCAATTAAGTTTAAATAAATAAATGTAAGCCATACATTTGAAGCGACAGTAGCCTAATAGCAGGGCGCGGACCGCGAACTCAAACGTCGTGGGTTCGAATCCGACATCCGACTAATGTTGTGAACCATTCCCAACACAAGCAGTTAAAGCATACTAGGTGTTGTCAGAGGTGACAACACATCTGTAGCCTTCTTTGTATGAATTTGCTTGCAGGTGTTCATAGACTGCAATAGCTAATTGCCAGGTGGACTGTCAGATCCTTTGTTACTTCAGTTTTATCAACAGAGAGGCTATGGTGAAGACTGTCTAAAAATACTGAACTCAGATAACCTATATAAAGACTGCTGCTGGAAAATATCTTTACCTAGGATATCTGCTTTGCACTCTCTACTTGCCTAGCGTGGTAAATATGGGAAAAGACAAGCAACGCACGCCAACCGGTACAGTCTAAATAAGGACTATGTCGAGCTTAGCGTATTAAAGTTAAAATTCGGAAGGATACCATATCCTGAAGTTACTCTTCATGGCATTGTTTCATATCAATGTGAGATTTCAGTCATCACCATCATCATCATTACAGCCCTTTAAGTCCACTGTACATAGGCTTCCACGGTACTGAGCTACCCGCATGTCTTACCAGGTCGTCACTCCTTCTAGTGGGGGGTCGCCCTACTCTTCGCCTACCGGTACGAGGCTGCCACTTGAAAACCTTTTTCCCCATCGGTTGTCGGTTCTTTGAGCTATATGGCCGACCCATTGCCATTTCTGCTTACTAATTCGTTGGGTTATGTTGTTCTACTGCAGATATAATCATTTCTAAGTTTACCACGCAGAGAAACCCTGAGCATAGCCCTCTCCATAGCTTGCTGAGTGACTTTGAGCTTCCTCATACGGCCAGCAGTGAAGTACCACTGCCATGGTCGACACAACACGACAAGGGTCTATATTCGAAAAGTTTTTTTTAAAGTTATACGTGGTAGAGCTATGCTGAAGCTATTATAGCTGTAGCACGAATGGATCGGCTCAAACGTGGAAGGACCACGCTCTCACAGAATACCAGCGTAAAATAGCAGTATAATGCTGCTGTGTTTCGTGTGGGGAGTGTAGAGATGCGGAGACGTTTTTTTTCTGGAAACGAGTCATTCCATGTAAGGTCCACAGGGGTTATAATTTGCTATTTAATTCTTCGTTGAAGATAGATGTCATGTGCCTATGGGTTACAGCAACATCTAAATACATACATACTATTCTACAAAATAAAATCTAAATACAAAAGACCCTTAATAACCTTTAAAATATAACTGGGCTAGATGTAAACAGCTATAAACCTATATATATAAAAATTACTACTGAACTGATTTCAATGAAATTATGTACACTGTGTGCAGTTTGGTCCTACTTGAGAGATAGAATAAGTTGTATACCGATAGGTGAACCTTAATATTTTTTATTACGAACTAGCTGTTCCCGCGACTTCGCCCGCGTGTAATTTATTACGATTAGATTTCATGGGTTTTAATTTTTTTGCGAGGAACCCTAATTCTTTTTCTAAAATAAAATAAGCCTAAGTTATTCCTTATATCATTAGCTAGATATGTGCTAGTGAAAGTCCCGTCAATATAGGTCCAGCTATTTCGGAGATTAGGCGGAACAAACAGACAGACAAAATTTAAAAAAATTGTATTTTTGTTATAAGTACCGTATATACTTTCGTAGGCATTTAGTAAAAAGCTGTTATTTTGACATTACAAACAGACATTTCAATCTTATTTATTTGTATAGATTTAAGGATATTTTATACGACAAAGGGTCCTCGGAGAAGGTAGAACAACGTGTGCCTGGCCAGCTAGTTATGATATATACATTTTAATGTCATTTATATATTTGTTACAGAAAGCAATGTCACAGTGTCGATACGTTGCCGTGCGTGGGCCAAGAACATACGCTACAACAAGAGTTTGAAGGAATCGTCCGGATATACACGGATACAGCTTCAGATTGAAGGTTCAGGCACAGAGGAAAGTGAAATGTAACTAATATAAGAATGTTCTTGATTTGTAGTGTACTTTGTAAGGGTTTTGTATGTTAAAATCTACCGAATCGTACCGGTAGATTTTTATATACTACTGGCTGGTTGGTAGCCGGCGCGGCTGCAGTAGGAAAAGAATATGGAAATATAGTTTTAAATTTGGAAGAGTTATAGTGTTAATAAAAAAAATTGTCGGTACGTATGCGCGCCACCTACTTGTAAGTTAATTGTACTATGCCTACAACCTTCGTACAAGTGCAAGCAATAAGTTGACAAGTTTTGAACGCAATTTGATGAACGGTATAGCAGCGCATAAAATACGAACAAACGAACATTATTTTTTATAGATTAGAATATAGGGTAACACACCCAATTGCTAGCACTGTACCAGTTTATCAGCACCTTGGCCAAAAAATTTAAATATAAGACCTTGTTTATAATTTATAAGTTGCCAAGTATAAAATCATTTTAAGCTGTTCTTACATTTTAATACTAGCTACACTACGCAATGCTAACATTTCAAAATGGCGTTACATTCTTGAGTGAAAACAAGCGTCCTGCAGTTTTGAGTGTTATCGGCCATTTTGATAATTCGAAGGTAAGTTAGTGGTTCAATTAATTGATGCATTTTAAATGTCTTATGAGCATACTGAAAAAGAAATAGTTTTCATTGGATTTATGTACACTTTTTTTGTATTATAATTCAATATTCATTTTGAGGTTATCAAATATTTTATATTTATGCAGGGTGCCAACCACTGGGTAATGAATTTTTAGATTTCCATATTATCATCACTGGTGCTGATAATAGGTTAAAATTACTGTGATCTTAATTAATGTTTTTCTTGATAATAGTTTATGTATATTAATAAATAAAGGCTGATTTCAGAGTGAATAGTGACTAAAACATCATTTTCCAAATCTCAGCCCAGTGCTGAAAATGCGTTCACCATTTATCAGCATGGTGCTGATGATTGGTTCAAATGTACGCCAATAATTGGTTTTGTTAAGTTATTTCCCTTTATTTTTTAGGCCTAAATATGAAACCGACGAAAACCAGTACTGATAGAAAAAATAAGAATCCTCGAAAAGGAAAAAGAAAGCAATATAGCTCAGAAAATTTAAAAAATGCTTTGGAAGCAGTTACGAAGGGAATGTCCAAAAAACTAGCTTCTAGAACATTTAACGTACCGAGGGGACCATACAATCTCGGCTTCGAAAGGGAACTTGCAAGGATCTTCCACGTCCCAATCCTATATTGTCTCAAGATGAAGAGGACGCCCTAGTAAAGTGGATAGAAGAATGCTGCCGAAAAAGCTTCCCAAAAAGGAAGATAGACTTACAACTAAGCGTAGCAAATTTCATAAAAAAGTCGGGTCGTAAAAAACCCTTTCAAAATGGCATACCAGGTAAAAAGTGGTATGAGCTATTTATGCGTCGACATCCAGAACTGAGTGAAAGAACACCTGAAACCGTAACATCTGCAAGTGCCCTTATTTCAAAACAGGACATCAAAGGCTGGTTTTCAAGACGGACACGGCAAATGACGAAATTAGTACTCCGCTTTTGCCATGCATCGATCATGTCGACAATGATTCTCAAGTCCAAGAACCTGCTTTTTTAGTGTCCCACGTAGTTGAAATTCATAACGAACTAACTACATCACGCAGGTCTGAAAATAATGAAAACAAATCGCATTATAAGAAATCTCCGACTAAAAGTAATAACAAGAGATTCTCAGTAGAAGAAACTAAAGTGAGCACGTATAAACAGACAAGTACTGAAAAACAAGAATCACAAATTCAATTAAAGAAAAGGAAAATTACAAAAAAAATCTACAATACCAGAAGAAAAGAGAATCAAAGTTCTTTCAGACATTAAAGTCAATTTTCAAAATCCAAATTCTGCTAAAATGACACAAAAAAATAATAAAGACGATGAAGTATTTGAGAAAATTACCAAAAATACTTAAAAAAAAGTTTACACAATCAAGGAACTGGAAGACTGAATGAAGACGAAAATGGCAATGGATAATTGAGGATGTATCCTATAATTTCTTTATTTTGTAATTAAATACTAAGCTTAAATAATGAGTACCTTGATAAGGATATAAATAGATATTTGAAGTTCGCCATAAACTAGATTTTAAGTTTCTAAGAAGACTCGCAATACTGATCTCTGTATTTTTAAGTTGATAATCTTTATTTTCTGAAAATTTTAAGTACCTATATGCCCGAGTGCCAAAAAGATATTAAGTAGGTGCTACAATGAAAATTTTTACTAACAGATTAAAATTATTACGATATGTATAAACACTTAATAATAAAAATAGTTAAATCTATTTCTTACGGAGTCTTTTATTTTCAATCCCTTTTATAATTGGTGCTGATAATCGGGCTAGTAAGTGCCACTAATTGGTGATGTTAGTGCTCATAAATGGGAGTAGGTTCATTTTTCAAAAAATATAATTTTAAAGCCAAGTGTCTACAATTAATATGAAAGTCTCTTTCAAACAACGTTTATTATTATATTTAAAATCTTATTAATACAACAAAAAGGGGTATAGCTTTGTATTCAATATAAATATTTTGAATTGAAGTTAAAATACCTGTTAAAGTGCTGATAATTGGGTGCGTCACCCTATGTATATGTAAAATAGTAATCCGTACTGGCTTCGCACTGGAGATTTGACTGGGTCTTGACAATAAGCGCTGCCTACCGGATCCTATTGTGAATTCAACCTATTGTCAAATCAACTTAATCACACACACAAAATTTCATCAAAATAAGTTTAACCGTTCAGGAGGAGTTAAGTCACATACACACGGACAGAAGAATTATGTATATAAAAATATGATAAGGGCTCTCACAGAATACCAGCGTAGAATATATAGCTATATATATATAGCGATGCAATTATGATGGGCGGATGGCCCGTGTTATCCTACTAATCGATGCTTCTAAATTAGAAAGCGGTGGAGTATCTATCGGTACACAGTGCAAGGACCTTTTGTAGTAGATCAAGGTGCCGCCTTTAGGTCCGGTCAGCCTATCATTTCTAAGGTAAATTTGATATTTTCGGAACGCATAAACTAGGTTTCAAGAAAATCTCTTGCACTAGCATGATGTCGACATCATGATCGCGTAAAAAGTATACAATTTCTTACTTTTGATCACTGATGCCGTTTGCGTTAAAGAACGCGACCGTCAGAGAGATAGGTTTCTATATTGTAACTTCCATTCTGGTTTATAAAAGGTCGGCATAGGCGCATTGGAAGGAGTCAATCTCGTCGATAAGATTGATATGCTCAATGGTGGCACTGAGCTTATTTTGGTTTTGGTCTCGTGAAGTTTGCGGCCCAGAGAGGTGACTTCGGCAACATTTATGTTGCTGATGTAGATGCAGATTAACGAAAAGTCAGCAGCAAAGATTGAAGGTGCCTGAGGGGCGGTTTTGGGCTTCTGTGTCTAGAGAGATAACGCGGCCGCCTCACGGGGCTTCGCCGGGGGCTTTATCTACGTGTTCATTTTGAGTGCTGAAGACATCGGAGGGCTTGCGCCTGAGAGGGCGCAGGTTGGGACACCGATATAGGTGACCGTTATCCACTCGTCAATGGCGGTATACTTCTCCGCGCCTTTTCCTGCGCGGCATTTTGGTACACCTGCGATAATTTGCTGGGTGTCCTGCTTTGCCGCACAGAACGCAGCTCGGAGGGCCTTCTGACTCGGGTGTTCGGATGCACTCGGGTATGCCGTGATCGCCTAGACACTTAAAGCGTCTCCCACACAGAAGCGGCTTGCCGTGGTGGCCACGGTGGCGGCCAGTTATATTCGCTTGCAATGTAAGTGAGTCTCCAAACCCGTGCGGCCGCATGCCCCGCCCCCTCCGCCAGCGCGTGTGTGTTAGCAAAGGCGCGGCATCTATCGGTGCCCGGTGCCCGCAGCGCGCTTAGTTGCAAATTTTTAAAACAGGCCATGTGTACCGCGTGAAAATGGTGCTAAATTGAGAGATTTTAATAGAAACTGCAAAATTATCCAGGACTTTATGATAATTCGCATCGTGATTACAAAAGCGATATTACAGAATATAATAAGGCTTCGTCACGATTAGCTATGTTTACTAACATCCAATTGTAGCACAGAAAACACAGCGAATGGCGCTTCAGGCCGCCACTGCAACCGCGGTGGTGTGTTGTTGTAGCGGCTGGAGCCGCAGCTCGCGGTTAGCCGCCACCGCAAGCAGCTTGTGTGTGGGAGATGGTTAACGAGTCTAGGCCGGGCGAAATAGTTTTTGGCTGAGTGGCCGTAAAGCTGGCATCGTTGGCATTGGCCAACATTGTCAAAGAATTAAGTTTGAATGTCTCATTACTAGAAAAAACTGTCTCAGATTCTCGTCACCCACTATATGAAACAAGCCCGTATTATGCTCCCGTTTCACGCTGGTATTCTGTGCGGGGTTTCGGGAGGGTTGTTCCCGTGTGAAGAGTATAAAGAGAAAGAAAGAAAGATAAAAATTCCATTTTAGCCCTCAAAATTGACAAAATTGAGTTTCTGTAGCCATCCTTATTTGAAGTTGACTGCAGGTTTCCATGGACTGCAGTAACCATCAGGTCGACTGTATGTTCGTTTGTCACTTTATTCGTGCCGCCGTCTATTACACTGCAACGAGGTTCTATCACGTGTAACATATACTCTAACGGTGTTTAGTGATTGGACGGTACACAATTAAATAAGTGTAGCAAATCAAAATCAGATTGCAACCTATAAATTTTGTCATACGACAAATTTTTTTTTCACAAATATGTCATTAGTTCTTAAGTACATATATTATTACGTAGATAATAGTCTTTAAAAATGTATTACGATAATTTCTATAGTTAGACGTAACATAAAAAAGGATACTACCCGTAAAAAAAAAACTATTTTTGTAGATAATATTAACGTATACGTCTGTATCGGTGTTCAGTCGTTACGACTTGCTTTTTTTGTAGTTTCAGTTATCAT